GGAGGGCGCTCGGTGCTCATCGTGGTTCGATTTGGTGCTCGGTGCTCATCGTGCTTTCGTTCGATTTGGTGGTCATCGTGGTTCGACTTGCTGGCCGGTGCTCATCCGTGCTTGGATCCGTGCTTTGTCTTCATTGCTGCTCATCGTGTTTGCTCTTGGGTGCTCTCCTTGGTGCTCATTGCTCTCTCTCTCTCTCTCTCACACACACACACGCACACACACATACACACTGTGCTCTCCTTTGCTGCTCGAAGGGGAGGGTGCTAGGTGCTCATCGTGGTTCAATTTGGTGGTCGGTGCTCATCGTGGTTCGATTTGGTGGTCGGTGCTTATCGTGCGTAGGTTTGATTTGGTGCTCATCGTGCTTCGATTTGCTGGCCGGTGCTCATCCGTGCTTGGATCCGTGCTGTCTTCATTGCTGCTCATCGTCTTTGCTCTTTGGTGCTCTCCTTGGTGCTCTCCTTGGTGCTCATTGCTCTCTCTGTCTCTCTCTCACACACACACACACACTGTGCTCTCCTTTGCTGCTCGATGGGGAGGGTGCTCGGTGCTCATCGTGCTTTGGTTCGATTTGGTGCTCATCGTGGTTCGATTTGCTGCCGGGTGCTCATCCGTGCTCGGATCCGTGCTTCGTCTTCATTGCTGCTCATTGTGTTCGCTCCTTTGGTGCTCTCCTTGGTGCTCATTGCTCTCTCTCTCTCTCACACACACACACACACACACTGAGCTCACCTTTGCTGCTCGACAGGGACTTGGTGCCGTGCTTGGATTCGTGCTCATCCTCGATCCGTGGTTTTGGTGCTCGGTGCTCATCGTGGATACGTGCTTTCCGTGCTCATCTTCTCTCCATTGCTGCTCATCGTGATAGCTCCTTTGGTGCTCGACTTGCTCTCCTTGGTGCTCATTGCTCTCTCTCTCTCTCTCTGTCTCTGTCACACACACACACACACACACACACAGTGTGCTCTCCTTCGCTGCTGGAAGGGGACTTGGGTGCTGTGCTTGGATTCGTGCTCATCATTGATCCGTGGATCTGTGCTTCGATTCGTGCTCTGTCCATTGGTGCTCATCGTGTTCTCTCCATTGGTGCTCATCGTGTTCTCTCCATCGTGCTCATCGAGGATCCGTGCTTTTCTTTGGAGCACGACCACGTGCTCATCGTGGATCGTGCTTTTCGTCGCCTGCTCATCGTGGATCTGTGCTTTTGGTCACGTGCTGACCGTGGATCCGTGCTTTTCGTGCTCATCATCGTTGATTCGTGCGGGAACTTTGGTGCATGATAACGTGCTCATCTTCGATCCGTGCTTTTGGTAGTCGGTGCGCATCGTGCTCGGTGCTCATCGCGCTCGGTGCTCATCGTGGATACGTGCTTTTCATGCTCATCGTCGATCCGTGCTTTTCGTGCCATCGTGGATACGTGCTTTTCATGCTCATCGT